TCCTCATCGACGTTTACGGCCTCGGCAATCATCCGGATGCTCATTCGACGATCTGCACGCACAATTTGGTTGATTTTGGTCACTGTTTCCGGAGTTGAAACAGTGACAGGGCGACCTGGGCGCTGATCATCTTTAGTGCTCTCTCGGCCATCACTGAAGCGCTTACACCATTCGAAAACACGCGCACGAGATAGAGAATTGTCCCCGTAGGCCTCTTTTAACAATTTATAGCACTCGGTTGGAGATTTTTTCAACTTGACGAGAAATTTGAGATTAATACGTTGCTCGTGTTTTTCGTCACACATGGTTTTCGGCACGAAAAAAAAACACGTTTGTTTCTAACCGCTATTGCACAAATACTATAATAGTGATAAAAACGTGTTTTGGTACGTAAATAGATAAGACTTTAAGCTATCCAACGCACTACTCGTATTTTGCACCACCACTATAGGACGCTCTATAGGCGCGCAGTCTCGTTATTTAATAGCCAGACCTCGTATGTAGTCTTAACCGTGAAACAAACAAATACCGCAATATACACTATGTACTGCAGCGATTTGCACAATCGTTGTTTACGTACGAGAAACGGACTTGCGGTGTCTATTCCAATCGGGGATAACAGCCCACATTTTGATACCGGGTAAGTCCGTTTTCAATGGATACAGATTTATTCCAGACAAACTTAGTGTACTTATTAATAATACAACGAATGGGAGTTCGAATAGAAAGAATTCAAAATTAGCATCCAATAATTGATGTTAGTATTTGTGAACCACTGTTTCCAGTGAGTTTATGCCAATTCCGTACAACTAACAGAGTCATATGCGAGGACCGTATCAGTAGTATGGGATGTTTTTGATTTATGACAAATCAAAATGAAAAAATTTACCACCGACACGAATCAATCCAAAAACGTTGACAAAGAGTCCATAAGCAAGCAATAGATGGACAAGATATTGGTAAAATATGTATGTTTTAATTCATGTAAGAGAGTGCCAAGAAAAAAAGCCTGAGCTATCAATGCAATCATGCGTCCAATATTAGCGATTTAAATCTATTGAAAACAAATGTTTTAAATTTCTCATGACGCATGGATGACCAATTCAGAACAATGGTAGAATTTAACTAAGTTCACATGCCTTTTTTTCCCTCGATCAGCATTAATGTGGATTGCCCTGGAACTGCCGTTAAGCATTACTTTAGGGCGGCCCACGTCATTTTTATAATTCACATCACCACGTTGTGAATCAGCCCGAAATTAATCAAAAGCTAATTCACAACGTGGTGTGGCCTCCCCCGTTAAAAAGCGAGGGTTGGCAAAAAACTTACAAGACACAAAAATCATATAATGCGAAAACGCCGGCCTAAACCAGCGCTTTAGGTCTTTCTGAATCGGGCAGCAAGACTGCCTCTGTCTCAGGCGTTCCACTATCTCCTTCTTTTTCAAGGCAGATTCAGCAAATGCCTGAATGAGTTTCCACGCTTCCCAACTTACCAACATCAGGTCTATCATGGACCCGACTCGGAACGTAGATCCTTGTCAGGACTCCAAAGAGTCCCGCTCCTCACGTCAGAACAGGGTATATAGAGCTCTGTAAACTTCTCTCAGGTGATCCGAACAGTGGTCGCACGTCAGCGCGGTTGCTTTGCGAATACGGTACAAGTATTCTTTAAAGCACCCGTGGCCGGACAAAACTTGGTTCGACTATAAGTCATCTCACTGTGAGTCTGGTCTACCCATCTGTCCACTTGCCTCTCGTCATTTCCTCCAATAGGCGAATCCGCGACCGGAGCATGGTCATCCGCCTAAGCGCTTGCCGGTCCTTGGGTTCGAGGGGCCGGTCGCGTTCTCTCCGGTAAGCTCACATGCCCATGATATTTACTTAGTGAGACAAGTTATGTATTTTAATACACATATATGGCGAGATATGGAAAACAGATGATATCATACGTAACTGTGTCAAATTTAAATTATGTTCAGAATTAATTTCGATCTGCTGTATACATATCGGTAGAGACGAAACAACAGTAATATTTTAACGCTGAAAAACAATCAAATATTGAGAGATAACCATTATACACCTTTGCCGATACGCCAAACACAACGTGGAATTTTGGGTTCACATCTGATGGACGATATACCGCATGATGTGGTTTAAAGTAATCACCAAGTTATGACTCTATATTCATATGACCAAGTGAAATGTACTTTTCCATAAAATTAAAATATATAACATAAAATTCTCTCATCCGGTTATCAGACTTCAATTTCCTTTTTAAATGTTAAAAGCGTTAAAACGCAAACACTCGTAGTCCGTAAATGTGTTTCCAACAGCCACATTTTTAAATGGTCATGGAACAGACAGACGACCTGAGGTGGATCGAGTACAACCATTTAAGAACAGGCTCTCATATATGCCTTCATCCATGAAGTACTTCTGGAGCGGCGTCTGGTTCCTCGTTAGTCCAAAAACTTTACACTATAGTTTCTAGTGACCCATGGCACTTGGCATGAATGAGGTGGATGCTGTTCAGACGTAGGTTCAGAACCTATTAATATACAACCGAATATGGAGCAGAATGCATCAGCAGCTAAAAACAAGTCGATTAGTGCAGAAGAATCGAATTGTGGATCAGCCAATGTTAAACTGTTATATTTATTAACAATAACATGAGATATCTTAGAACGAGGTATATTCAATGTAATAGTAGGAAAGAACCAGGCCTTAATCAGCAAAACCGGCGACATCTCAAATCATAGCCAGTTCATTTAGTTTGGTATAGTCCTATTCGTGTCACACAAGAAGATACCATAACAAATAAAGTTTGTTTAATTTCAGCAGTTGTTAAATTTAATTACCAGTCAGTTGGCTTCCCAATTTTTAAAATCACATTACTAATCTGATATTATAATTTATTTGTAGTCACTTTTCAACTTTAAACAAAGCAATTTTTTTTTATCAATAATTTATAAAACTAATTATATCAAATAATTTTTTAAAAATTATTTTCAACGTCAAAACGTTATACATCAAAAACAAAAATAGTCGACATTTTCCAATTCTCTTGATATTATTTTCAAAAACTAATAAATTAATTTAGGATGCCCAAAAAATGAAAAAATGAGTTTTTAGTTCAAAATTAAATTTATATCGTACTTGAATAACATTTTAAAATATTTTTTAAGCCATTAGCTGAAGAATTGGCATTATTCGATTTAAAATTTTTATCCAAAAGTTAAAGAGCTAACATTTTAAATTAAAAATGTTAGTTCCTTAAATGGGAAAAGAGAAATTCAAGGTATTATCAGAAAAGAAATCTATTTCATCGATCATAATTTTGCTCTTCATTGATAATGTGCAATATACATTGCACATAGATAGTATAATTCTAATATAATTTATAATTAATATAATTAGTGCTTTTAATGTTATTTTTTTCGTTTTTACAACCCGTTGAGAGCCTTTGCGGTCTTCCCAAAAGAAGAAGTTTATTAAACATGGATACTGCAGATATATGGTTGCCGCCGGAAAGAGGGATGGTTACTCCAATTACCTCGCTCTTTAACAGAGCTATCCATGACCTTGTCTCGATCTCGAGACAGTTTGTATTTAGACAGCACTGCTGTGTTACCGATTCAGCCACATCATCCCTTTTAGTACAAATAATATTGAAAATTAAATACAAATAAAAATTAGACTATAAGATTATTTTTTATAGTACTGCGTATTGTGTTCTTGAATTAAATTTGTTTATAACAAAATACTTAGATTTAAAATAAATAATAACATATATCTGCAATACAGTGCGAAAATAAATGTGACGTTAAACGCAGAATTTCTATTGCGCAAAAAATATCTTAATAATATAATGATTTTTAAAAACTACGTAAATATATTTTAATAATTTATAGGGTGTCAGATGTGTCGAAATGAACATGTTTTTTTGTTTGAATAAAATCATTTAATATACACTTGTTTTAATATAATACACAATTTTGTTTCAATGATTTACAGTGTAAATTTTTCATAGTTTAAACCTAACAATAAAAGTATTTATTAACGTTTTGTTATCAGGTTAAAAATTATGACAGAGTTCATTGTTCTACAATATAGAATGACGAACTAAATAAATGCCAATTTTTATACCTACGTATTGCTGTAATGATGGGAGCTAAAAATTAAATTCTTTAAAATTAGTTTTTTCCACCTCAATTTTTGTTGATCTAGCTAATTGAACCAAATTTTTTATTTTTATAATGATTTAAGAAACTCTTATATTCTCTTTACAATGATTGACATTATGTAAATTAATTACATGTTTTTCTAATGTTCTAGAATAGCTGTAAATTAATAATTAAAAAAATTTAAGAAATATTATATTACATTATTATCAACAAATTAATTAATTTTTATTTAAAATTTAAGATTATAAATTTTAAATGTGCTGCTGGAATAATTTTCTATCGATTTCTGTTTTTGTTTAAAATGATTATTAGATTTGTAATTTTTTTCAATTTATTATTTCTTTATTAATTGATTGCATTGTTATTATTCTTTTTATTATTAACATAGTAAAAAAAGAATATGTTTTTAAGTATTTCATCTATCATTATTTTACAATAATCCTTATTTTAGATGGACTGATGATATAGAATATTCTTTGCGAACAATATTTACAATTATCAATGTTATTGATTTATATGAAAAAATAAAATAAACGATGTATAAAATTCTAAATATATATTTAAAGTCTTTTATCATTTAAGATAAATATTAAAATATTAATTTAGATGATAAGAGTAACAATTGAAATTTAATTTTGAAAAAGCTATGTAGGGAGATACACACTATAGCTAACTAATATTTTTTTTGCATTTATGTGATAAAATAGTCATAAAAAGAGGTATATTTACGTAATTAATAAAAATATATTAATTTTAACCGAATAAATTGTATATACTGTTCACATGATGATGTTATTATTAGAAAATACTTTTGGTTACTTCAATGGCCAAATGAACAATTATATAAAAATTCGACTACTTAATATTTAAAAGTTTTAATAAATTCATTTTATGAGGCTTTTAAATTTTTCATATATTAGTTCTTAAGTAATTGTTCAGTAACAATTCTATAAGGTAATTTGTTAAATTATTTTGTTTTCAACAATTTTAGTTTATTTTTAATTTTTAAAATACTTTTTCTAAAATTGTTTAATAATCTAATTTTATTAAAACATTTTTTTTGTTTTACTTTTATCATTATGATTTCATGTTTAAATTAAACGACTGTTTTTTTAATGTGAATTACTATAAAGTTCAATTTTTGAAGCATCAAATTTAATTTTCAATGAAAATATCATAATACATTTTTAAAGAAATTGTTAACCTTTTGTATTTATCCATAATTATTCAATTTATTGATAATTTTACAATTTAAACAAATTTTTAATATAATATATCAAATTATTATTCTTTCATTTTTATAGGAATAAAAAAACTCTAAAATTTTTTAATTATCTTTCAATTTTTTTGGGGTATATTTAATATACATAAAGAAAAATATACAATTAGTTATATCTATTCATATTGACAAGAGATTACATTTTACATTTTAATAGAATATTTTTACCTTTTAGATAAAGACAATGAATTTATACGCTGTTTGTAGCTTCTTTTTTGGTTGTGTAAGTAAACAGTTAAAAATATGAACTATTGGTTTAAAGATTAAATATTTATGTATGTATTCGATAATTTTTATAGGTAATTTTCGATTCTTATGCTAAAATTTCAAATACAAGAAAAATGTTACGTGATTGCCTAAAGAATCGAGACATGTTAGATAATGTAAAAGCATGTTAGTTTACATTAATATTATAATATATGAGCTGAACTCAAAAATTAAAAATAATATTTCAGCATGCTTAATATTTTTTATTTCGATGCGATAAATTAATTTTATCATGATATTTTTATTTTATTTTGTGTTTGTCCCAATTNGTTTAAAGGTTAAATATTTATGTATGAATTCGATAATTTTTATAGGCAATTTTGGATTCTTATGCTAAAATTTCAAATACAAGAAAAATGTTACGTGATTGCCTAAAAAATCAAGACATGTTAGATAATGTAAAAGCATGTTAGTTTACATTTATATTATAATATATGTGCTGAACTCAAAAATTAAAAATAATATTTCAGCATGTTTAATATTTTTTAGCTCCGATGCGATAAATTAATTTTATCATGATATTTTTATTTTATTTTATTTTGTGTTTGTCCCAATTTTTCTCAGCTTTCACTGCAACGGATTTTCTCAACTTTACGTCAAAAGATCATATTCGTATCTAGCTGAAGACATTACCTTCAAAAATTGAAAATTTTTCCATCGTTCTCCGTAAATGGTGAAAATCTCCCAAAAAATTACGATTTTTAAAATCGGTAAATTTCGAAATTTTTTCTAAAAATTACCATAACTTATTGAAAAATGAATGAATCAAAATTAAAATTAAATATTTTCCTTTCATTTGATATAAATTTTTTGAAAATCTGACTCATTAACTGCTCACAGGGAGCATTCAAAATAGCAACTGTGTTACAAAACTCAACTTTTCCAACTTAAGTTTTAAAAATGTTGCGGATATTAAAAAATATGTCAAATTAAAGCTTATGTTACGTAATATAAATTTAAAAAAAATATATATTTCCCGACGATATATTTTCTACGTGCAAACGGCTACTGTAGTTAAAAAACATGCTATTTTTATGTTAAAATTTACGATTTCTTATTTTACTTTTTCAACTTTAAATTACTATTACTTTTTGAAAAATGTATAAATCAATACAATTTTTTTTTCATAAATACTTTATGTTAACTTCTTCCATTTGACATACTTTTTTTTTTAATTCAAACCATTTTCCTTTATACAGAGGGGGGATATAAATTTCTAAAAATACCAGTAAAAAATAGAACTTATTCAACTTAAGTTTGGAAAATGTTCGGGAAATATTCCGAGCTTTAAATATATGTAAAATAAAGGTTACAATAAAAACAATAAGCGCAAAAAAAAAAATTCCCCACACCAATTTGACTCTAAACTTGCACACAGGAGGAATTCAAAAAAGCAATATACGTACATAATTTAAACTTTTTCAACTTAATTTTTAAAAATGTTCTGGAAATATTAACACTTTTATTTATCTTAAATTAAACCTTATGTAATACACTTAACTATAAAAAAAAATGTCGAGATATAGATCGTCTTCATAGTGAAAATGGCTATTATATTCAAAAATATGCTATTTTTGTGTTAAAATTCTTCTTGGTATTGTATTTTAATTTATTTTAATAAAACTTATTAAAGATTATAAAGTTAAATTTATATAATTTTCCTTTAATAAGAAAAAAAGTATCTTTAAAATTTGATTAGCTTAAATTGGCAATTATATCACACGACAAATGCGACGAATGCTTACCGTATCGGTAATACTAGAATATTTCACACCTAATGTACAAGGTTCGAATTGTCTTGTAATAATTACTTTTTTGCAATTTTTTCTTAAGTTTTTTTGAGTTAGAAAAAAATTTTCAACTAACTTTTTTTTTATATGTTAATTGCTTTGATCTAATTAGAAGTAATATTAAAAATTAGTGGTGATGGAAAAAAAAATTGTAATTTTAAATCAGCGCGAAAAATTGCTCAAGAAAAGTAAATTTTTGACTTTATTGAATATTTTTGTAAACTATTTATTCATAATTAACAACAAATTATCTTCTGAAAAGTTTTGTATTTGGCCATTCAATTGTTTTACACATTTGCCATAAAAGTAAATACTACTTTATAATTTTTAATAATTTTTCCGTAAAAATTACAATTCTAAATTATTAAATATAAATTTCAAACTATATTTAATGGCTTTAAAAGATACTTAGTCATATTTTATACTTATNATTTCAAACTATATTTAATGGCTTTAAAAGATACTTAGTCATATTTTATACTTATAAATCATAGATCTACTAATTAGGACCAATGGAGAAAATAAAAGTTCATTTTGAGTTTTGAATAATCCCTCAATTTTTTTTTTTTAATTAAATCCTATTTATTGATTTGCATCGAAGTATTTCTTATGATAATGATTTTAATCGCAGTCTGATATCCT